CGACAAAGTGGGGGCGATGTGTTCTAGTATAACCGAATCTGGTTGACAGAGGACACGGCAGAGCACAAGCCGCAGAGAAAGCGACACTGAGGTTTTGCGCCCGAGTGCAATGTTTAAGGTCTCATAATCTGTGCCAACTGATGTGTCACTACGTATGCAGTTGCCTCCATGCATAAATTACGCTCATTATGGTTTCTCCTTCTATTTTTGGTAACTTTACGACGTAGTCAAGATTGCAGCGCGTTTGCTTTTGAAAACTGCTGCTCATGAGTAATGAATGACATGACGCCACATTCGACGTTACTGCGCTGACACTTAGTCGGACGATTGGCTGATTAAGGATCAATAGTTTAACTAGCAGCGACATGGCAGTCGTAATCGGCACAATAGCGAAGGCGTGTTCTAACAGAATCTATGTTGGTTGACTGCTTGCTTTTCACAGCACAAGCCACAGAGTAAAAGACACTGCGCTCTCGCACCCAAGTGCCATGTTTTAGGTCTTGCCACCTATATCAGCAGCAATGACGCAGTATTCCCGCCCAGTCAGTCGAATGAATCACATGCATCTGAGTCTGAAACACCTAAGTTAGGTCTAGCAGAGTGCCGCCATACTCACGAGAGAGACAATCGAGAAAATGGAGTCAGCGGCAGATGGCATGGAAGCAGACATTTTACTATGCATTTTAAGTTGCATTGATACGTAGTTAGAGCTACTGAGCTGAGGTCATAACAATGATTATCGTGCAGCATAGTTCACAGGTAGTTCAAGGTAGTGGCATTTGAATGCTCTTCCTACCTCCAATTTCAACACTAGGTAAAAACGACTACTCATGTCGTATTAATTCTTAATGCGTGTATAGATACAAATATACTACTTTGAAAGTGGTCACACAACGTAATTTAGCGATAGTCATTTCGTAGCAAATTAGACCGTCTTACATACTCTTAATTATCAAATTCTGTAAGAGCGTAGTATGTCGATTTCTACAACAACTTATATGTCGGTCATACAAAAGGCATTAAAAAAGAGACATCATGCTTGAGGAGAAAAAACATCTAACCCACAGACAGCTAAGGAGGCGAGAAAAGAGATGCTCCAAATGGTAGGGAAAATTTATTCCTTTTGTTAAATAAAAAGTATTTTCCTGTTACCTTTTGGTGACGAGAAATTTTAACAACAAGACAAAAGACTGTGAGTAAAATATTCTGGTAAATAAGTAAAGAAAAGCATTTGCAGTTGTAGACCTGCTTCCAACGATGCTGAGCATGCAGACCTCTTAGACCTCTGTGGACCGCCGGTTATCGTATATATTAGACAATTCATTGTCGTCTGTTGGCAATGGCGGCAACTTAGCAACGTTTTCTTTCTGAAATGTAAATCAGATGCTTAAGCGAGTTAAAATTCCGCACCTACAGTAAAACAGGCAGCTAGAGAAAGGAAGAGAAGCCGGATCTTGATTAATTATTCCCCTTGACAGATAGCAAAAATAAGGGTGAGCTTCCAGTTGGGCCTCGCTGGAGATGTAAGAGTAAGAGTTAATGCCATCTTTAGTCCCTCGTCTGTTTTCAGAAATTCCAAGGTGTCTTTTACGGAAAAGTGACAGTCTTTCGTTTAAATGTGCGGCATTATTATTAAGCTGAATAATAAAATTATCTGGTTAGTTAGATACACTGATACGACTTCTTGACCATGGAGCAAATACCAAAAAATCTACACTCAGTGACGGATGTCATTAAATATTTACTAGCATTTTTAACTAAGTTCACACTTAAGAAGGATAAATTATATAGAATTTTGCTATTAATTATATTGCGGCATAATCCCCTGATATTTCACAAACACACATACACAGCCCGGCATCTTCACTTTTAAATGCAAGTCCTTTAGCTCGCTTGCAAAACACACTACAAAAATCTCTACCTAAATAAAATGCTTTTGGAAGTCACGTTTGGCGAACGTATGTACTGGACTATACTTCATGGGACAATTACAATAATATAAGGGGGGTAAGAATGAAAAGAACCTTAAACATCCAATCAGTAATAAGTAAGTTCTGGATTGCTAGGATAAAACGACATGAAATAATTGTCAGGTCCTTTCTGCGTACACAACCTCCGACCACTTGATACCTGAACACCCTCTGCCTTTACTTACTGTTGGTTGGATGTTTAAACGTTCATTAATTTACCCTCCCTTATATTATCGTTACCATCAGAAGATGAATAATCGAAAACATACGTTCGTCAAACTTGACTTATTGACTGCTTACAGGGCGCCATCACCACACAGTTAACTATAACGATGTCATACATTAATTTTGAATGTCTTTACAAATTCGAAAACAGTTGACTGGAAGCATGCATGAAAATATCATTTTACCCATTTCGTAGCAAATCAGAACTTCATCAAGTTAGTTTAGGTATCTTTGAAATAAAGGTCAATTTTTAGCATCAATTTTGCCCATTCATCACTGCTCCTCATTAAGTATACAACAGGCGACTCTAATTGCAAAGCTTTATGAGAATCAAGTGGCATCTTTTTGATAACATGGAGAAGCGAGGGTTACCCTTACGGGGTAAGAAAACAGCTTGTTGACTGAAAAACGCAAATGCATTGTATGCAAACTATTTGGGAATTGGAAAACGTGTTTAAGACCTAATCATGCTTTTCCTTCGAGTAGAAACCTCAAGGAGGAAGCGGCTTCCTACCAAAATAATAAGAGAAATAATGGTTCGGGCATGCCTTCAACAAAATATATTCGAATTTCTAAGGAATTGAACGGGTAAGGTCAAATGCATCGTACTTGGGTAGTCATTTTAAATTTTTTAGTGCAGTAATGATCCGAAATTAGGTGTATTCAAAAGCCAATATTGTATCATATCTGGAGTAGCTTATTGAGGTTAACGCTAACTCAGGGGAAGTGGGAAACAGCTATTTCTTGGTCTGGAGTCAAATGGAGCAGCATGAGGGCAAAGCGAACATTTAAAAATATCAAGCAAAAAGTGCTGTAAAACTAACGTGTGTCTGGGAGGAGAGGTGAGTAATATACTCCTCCTTCCCTTGAAAGCAAGTTCGACATATGGGGCACATCCAATTGAATCGTTGGTCGCCATTGGGTTGTGACTAATGGAAGTTTGCATATAAATAAATAAAAAGTGAGGCTGTGCGACTCCGTAAAGTTGTTGGTAAAGAAAACAGTTTAGTAGTATTTAAAATCGCATTTTTCACTCGCATCCTGCATATATGATGGATGATCAGTTTTTGGGTTCATGATAATAAAGGTACATCTTTAAGCGAACTCTTAACTGAAACTAAAAAACGTCGCTCAGGCGAGGATTAGCATTTTCATATCAGCGTTGTTTTTACTTTGCAGCGTTAAATGGGCAATCGAGAGATTTTGCCTGTGTTTGCAGCACGTTGCCTAGAGGTCCGCTTTTTGCAAATACGGAGTTCTAGCTCAGAGAAATGCATGAGACAGTAAAGAGCCTGTAAAAAGTACTACAAAGAGTTCAAATCGTGGACACGGGAAAGGCAAACCACCCAGCAGATCGAATGGTCGATGTAACGGACATGTTGATGAAGGGCCAGTGTTGGGGCAACAAACTGAAGAACAAATTAAAAATAAGATTTCGACTGGTGCAAATTCTACTGGAAGGAGGATCTGTTGCTGTCAAAGCTGCAGTCAAAGTAGGACAAGTGGTGTATAAAGCAATATGCTCGAAGCAATGCTGACCAAGTAAAACACTTCGGCGGACTTTTACCAATATTGGTAATGAAGACTCATCACCATCTAACGGAACCTGCTCGTTCCGTTCTGCTTTGAGGATCACTCAGGAGTATCCGCACAGCGGCTTGTAGTGTATACAGAAGAAAATTGTCGACAAAGGCCATCTCTGTCTCATTATTCTTCATCAGCCAGTCATACTCAACTCCGGGGCTGGCGACCTTCAACCCTCGAACCAGCGACCTGTTTTGCAGAAGTCCAACCCTTGGACCGTGGATTTCGTGACTTGTAACAAGTAGGGTTCACTAACATGGAGCCCATATAAATTTGTACTTGAAATCTTTATAATAACTGTTGATACAGGGCACTAGACGAAGACATCCACTCACCAATTAACACGGACGCACATAAACCTTGCCATCAACACAAATTATATTGGTA